AGGGTAACCGCTCTCCCTGGCTTTGCCCTCAGCCAAACAGGCTCAAGCTGCTCCTCCTCCCAACCCTGCTGGCTCTGGAGAAGTTGCACCATCAAATAATTCAGCCCAACACCTCTTCTCCCCGGGAAGCCAGAGTTTGCTGATCTGCCCCTTCTTCCGCAGCTGAACCAGGCAGGGACAGTGCTGGAGAGGTGACGGTGCCAGAGGTGGACCTCCCAGCGGTCTGCACCAGACCTGCCAGCCCCAGGGAAGCCACCAGCAGTCCCCGCGTGCCACAACCACCACCTGAGACCAAGCTGGTGAGAAGGGGCGGCTGGGCAAGCCGTTGGCCACTCCGGGCCCCCTGAATGAGCCCGGCAGCCGGCTGTGGCTGCCCCACAAGCCCAGCTCCCTGGCTGCCCAGCTAGGCTGAGCCTTCCTCTGCTTTCATCTCGCCGAGCTGCTGCTTTTGGGTTACACCCAAGGTTACGGGGCAGCAAGAGCCCAGTATGTGCCGGCCCACCCTGGCGCTCCAACTATTGGTTTGAGCAGGCATGGGGAGGCCTGCCAAGGGGAGGGTCACCAGCTGCTACAGCTTCAGGCCTGGCCAGAAGCATCCGACAGTGGCCCCGAGCCACCCAGGAAGGGAGGCAGGCAGGGAAACCACAGCGAAAGGGCGCGGGGGGCTCCCACACCTCACCTCCGGCAGAGGTGATGGGTGCTGCTGGCAGCTGGGAGACGAGGGGGATGCGTGCATCCCCATCCCTAGGGACCCAGACGTCCCACGGGCCCCGCTGCCGCCCTGAAAAAGCGCCCTGAAAATTAATTCCTTCCCCGTGGCAGCAACTCCACCCTTTTTCCCGTTATCCCTTCCAATCCGGTGACTTCAGCTCCGGCTCTGAACTGGGAGCGGTAGGAGGGAAGGAAAGGAGGTGAAACGTCAAGGCGCAACCTTCCCCCCTCCCGGGACGCACGTGCGCTCAGCAGAAGAGAGCCGGGCAGGCTCCACAGAGGCAGAAAAACACGATAGGGAGAGAGGGAGCGAAAGGACTCCTGGCTGGGGCTGTTGTATGGATCAGCTGGGTCTCATCTTACTGAGGATTTACAATCCCAAAGCATCAGGTGCCAAAATAATGAACATTAATGGGAATTATGCTGCTGGGAAAACCGGCAAAGTCCTGCCAGAACCGCTGCCCCGATGCAGTGCTGGGGCCAGAAAATCCCCCTGGAGGGCTTCTCTCAAGAGGGCGAATTGCACAGGGCTCCTGTTTTCCCTTCTGGCCCCATTTTCCCTGCCACCCCCCGATGCAGAGCCACAGCTCTGGAATTGGCTTTGAACTATCCTTGTCATAGCGGGGCCGGTACCATAGGACAAAGCATCAGTTGATGCATGAAGTGCTTAAAGCCACTTTTCTCCCCCTCCCCACAACCAAATCCAGCTTCCTCATCCGGCATAAAGAGTTCAGGATACCGGCAGAGAAGAGAGCAGGCTTCAAACCGAACCCCCCCATCCAGAGAAAAAGGCCCCGCGGTAGGAGGAGGAAACGCCCAAGAAAGCCAAACTGCTGGGAGAAATCCGGGTGCCGGAGATGCAAGGATGCGGCAGGATGCACCCCCAGCACAATGCTCGGGGCCGTGGATGGCGAGGCTTTGGCTCGGCAGCTGGCAGCAGCGATTTTGCCTGGTTGCATCCGTACCCACCAGAGTTATATGTTCAGCCCCACAGCTGGCAGGCAGAAGCACCAGAGGGTGTCCCAAGCAGCCAGGGACATAGGTGACACCTGGAAGGACTGGGTTACAACGGCAGGTTAAGGAGAGGCAGCTGCCTGCTCCGACTGAAGAAGGGCTACAGGGGAGGTGATAACAGCCTGCAAGTATCTGAAGAATGTAAACACCAAAGAAGGAAAGGGGACTGGGTGGGAGTGAAGGAATGGCTCCTGGGTGGTACAGAGGCACCAGGATGGAGAAGCGGAGAAGAGGCTGCAGCAGGCTGGGAAAGCTTGGCGTCCAAGGGGAGGGATGGGATGGTCAGGTGTGCTCCTTCCATCGCCAGCCTCTGCCACCACCGTGCCTCCTGCTCCTCCCGCTCCCAAAAGCTCCTCAGGACGGCAGGTCCTGGAGCAATGCTTCCTTTCACCTCCAAGAGACGGTGCGAGGGGCTCTCGCCCTCCCGGAAAGCACAATGTCTTCTCCAAAAAGGGAACCCGCTCCACAAGGCGCGGGCCCCAGGCCAAAACACAAAGCAAAACCGCTCCAGCTCAGTTTGGTGGAAGCAAAACTGCTCCCAGGCTGGATCACACATGCAGCTCCCGAACCTGTACGTGCTGCAAAAGCAAGCGGGCGACAGGTTCTCCCTTTCCCACCGCCCCCGTGTGAAACGCCGGCGGGCACAGCCCGGCCTGTCACCTCCATTACCCCACTCTGCTCAACAGCCTTCCTCTCGGGGCCGGCAGACGTCCGCACGGAAGAAGGCTCGCCCCAGGGGTGGGACGATCCCTGCCCCAAAACCGCATCTGGTTCCCACAGGGAGCAGCAGCTCCCCACGCCCGGGGGGGGATGCGGATTCCGCATCTGACTGCGGTCATCGGTGTGGTGAGCTCGGCAGGCCTCAGCCCGGTCCACGCTGACACGCGGCATTACCGATGTCTACGGGTGCTGCTAACAAAGCGACTCTACCGAGCGGCAACGGGGAGCCCTGGAGGGGAGCCCGGTGGCCACGGGGAAGGGAGGCAAGGAGGCACCGAGCCTCAGCCACGGCCTCGGATAGCCGGCGGGGCCAGAGTCCCCGGGGCAACAGCGGTGCCGGGGGCGGGCAGGGAGCGGAGGGACCCCGGGGAGGCGGCGGCTGACAGCTGGGGGCCCCGCCGGCCCTGCGCCCCTCCCCCGCCCCGCGGGGGCCCCCCGGGG